GTTCCACAGACCACTGACCTAGTAAAAACGTTAAAAAAATACACACTGACAATACGAATAATCTCCAAAACTCAGATCTAATGCACAATAATGCAATCAAAAGCCATAAAAAGAAGTAGACAGATTTTTTGAGAAAAAAAAACTGCATCGTGGGATTTCTTTTTTTCTCAAAAAGTCCTCTTTTTAATAAAAAGGGGACGATTTCATTGTCAAAGCTCAGGTGGCCGCTTTGTGTTCCGCTGAATACGCGTTTCGCTATAAAATTTCGTAATATATTTTGTCTGTCTTTGTGTTTATAGTGCTGGATACTCGTGAAAATTGCGCGATTGTTATCCGTAGATGAATCAATTTTTATATTTTAAAAATTTTTTTGAATCCTTTAAACTATCATCGACTCTCCGCAATTTTAACAAGTACTTTATGTTGATTGATTTTTAAACTTCATCTTTATTTTAATGCCACAACTGCTAATCTCACGTGACAACGACAACCTTAGTATAAAATTGGGTACTTTGACAGACAAAAATATATCAATCTTTGTAAAAGCTTCGAAGAATAATAATTAAAACCACCCTGCACTGTCTTAAAATCCCAAATGACCAAACGAAAGACATAAATCTGAAGCAACTCACGACATGTGGCTCTTCACTCTTTGTTACAAAACCCTTAAAACTGTAGCTCCGCAGGACGCGTCACTAATTCTGATAAATTCCAAAACTACGGGAAACGCACATTTTCGTATGCGCCGGCAAAAATCTATTTGAATTGCTTCCATCTAATGAGCGAGCTCCAGAAAATGATGACGGAATGTAAACCTTACTCAGTGAAGATACAAATGAAATCACAAAGCACAAGCAGGAAGCGGTAGGTCATTAAGTGTTCGGGGATGCTATACAAGATGTTGCAGATGATGTACTGTTCAAGAACGATGTTACTACAGACAGCGATAACGAAAAACCAACTGTAGAACCTTTGGATAGAGTTGAAAATGATTTGGTGATGACTGGTGTTATAGGGCAGATATTTGATAAGGGTTGGTTGCAGGTAGAAAAATTCGAACATTCTAAGGGATGAAGAAAAAATAAGGGTCGGTTTTAAATACAAAGGATGGCGTTGGCGTCATGCAGAGCACGATGGACGGATGCAGTTTTAGATGCATCTCCCGATTCCAAAAATGATATTGAAATTGTTAATTGAATGTGCCTTGCAGAGATTCCTTCAAAGATTAAGCTAATGTATAGCGAGGACTAGCTGTAAATATAAAGTCGAATGTTTATGGGAAGATTGTAGTTAATTGCCACGTTTTTTAATTTAAAGATTAGGCCCCACGTCTACTACAGATGGACATAATGAAAATGGGATACATTTCAATGGCTCAAGCACGAAATGTAAATAATGCTGTATGGATTGATGACCTCTTGAAGATAGCAGACAGTAACACGATGAATAAAAGCAAAAGATCGTGCTTTGTAGAGAATCTTAAGAAGAGCTCTCGTCTAGCAATGGTCTGTCATAGGCTAAAATGATGATGAAATGACATGTATTAAGAAGAACACTTATTTCACACTAGTTTCAATAAGAAAATGAAAGATGGCTAATGCCCGTTTTCACCATCAATCCCTCATTTTTAAGTGACCTATGGTTACGCATAATAGGAATTTTGTTTTCATAGGCGTCACTTAAAATTAGGGATTGATGGTGAAAACGGGCATAAAAGTATTATCATGTTACGTGCAAATGCACTATTTAGGATCACCCCCAATCTCAAGTGCTTATAACATCTGCATAACAATCAACTCTAAATAAATAGAAACTTTTCAAAGAACACATTGCCTCAATAAACCTCAGGATTCAAGTAAAAAACCAATTTGCATCTCGGTGCTCTTATCACGAACGAAATAAGGTTCAGATTGACAGAAAAAACGACAGGTTTTTGTGAAATGTGGTAAAAAATAGGCGCCCACGATGTTCCGGCAGGAAGGAACTTATATGATTATAATAATAAACATTAGTGATCAATATAAAAAGTATGATACCAGGTGCATATTCTGATGGTTTTGTTTTTTCATCAGTACCACCCTCTCCTTTTGTTTGTTCTATAATATCTGTGCTAGCTACCCTTTGGTTAAAAAGAATTTTTTCGCCCACCCAAACGTTTTATGGCGACGAAAAAATAAGAAGCGAAAGTGCACTTTTTAAACTGTTTACAATAGAATCTTTTTATTTCTGTTTTTTAGTATTTTATAATTCTGGTAGCCATCTATCCATCCTTCTGTTTGAAGGTTAAGTTTCACTTTTATTTTCTAGCCTATTGTACAAAATTACTTCGGATGAGCAATAAAATTTGGAAATAAAAATTAAAAACAAGCAGCCAATGAATTCTTCGGAAATTACGTAGTGTCGGCGACTTACAAAGGAAAGTAGAAAATTTTAAGTGTTAAAATAGATGTTGGAAAAATATTTGCGTTATATCCGTGACTTCTAATTTATTTTTAAAGAATCAAAAAAATATTTCTAAATTAGGCAAATCTTATGTAACCCAGATTTGACTGGAAAAATCTGGTGTTTAAATGGTTAATGAAATTGATTTTTTGAGCTCTTTGTTTGTTTTAACTAACCTCTGGAAATAAATAACCACATAACGTCTATCCAGTGTTAGCATACATTTTTCATCCTGCACATTATTAATAGTAGTTCATACCTTATCAGTGGTGAAGATTGTTTTAATAAATTCGTTCTAATCCAAGCCAAAGACTGAAGCAACGCTTAATCTTTGTCTTATGTCTTTTAGAATAGAGGTCAAAAATTATCTTCTGGTTTTTGGTGGACTGTACGCCGGGAATCCGGTTTAGGCATTCGCGTGACGGATGACTGAGCACGACTGTACCACGTCGCTACTTAGTGGGTCCTTTTACGAGCCTTCCAGTTTCTTTCCCATCCATTGCTGTCTCTATGCCTTCTACAACCTTGGAACTTTAATGAAATTCTTCGATGTATGCTAAAGGATTTATATAAAAGTTTTTCGTAGCACAATCATTATTATGATGAGCTATAGATCGTTTAGATCAAAATGGCGGTCCCAAAATACAGGTTCCGTGATGGTGGGATAAAAGAAATTAGCTGCACATGTTAGTTGGTAGGTACGTGTTCTTGTAATTTGAAACGAGGCAATCACAGAATCGTTTCCTTTCAGAAAAAACCTTTGGCTAACATGCAAGATTTATCTGAGCTTTTAGGATGCACAAAAATAAGAAAAAATATTTAAATAATTCATGTATTTCCATAATAATTCAAATATTAAATCCCACGCTTTAAAATACTTCAAATACACCTGTAAACCCTGTTTCACCTGATTAAGGTGCCCATTATTTGAATAATAATACACAAATCATAATATTTTATCCCTGAACCGATCGACATCCTGCTTCCGACTGCGACAGGTTAAAAAAACTTATTCAATCAATTGTACTAACCCTTACGCAAACCAAAAAAACCTCTCGTCAACGTATGTGTTTGAAAAAATGTGGTAAAAAGTAATGAATGAACGAACGAAATCGAATTTATTAACCCCTCCACTGCATGCAGTAAAAAATATTTCAAAAAAGTTCATCTTTTTTGGTTATTGAAGTTTACTTTAAAAAGTTTTTATTGACTTGTTTGCAATATGTTACAAACCGTAAAATGTATTATTAATAATTCAATGCAGTTTCTATATTAGAAACAACTAAATTGGTTTGTTTACTTCCAATGAACTTTTGTCCTAACGACTTTACGTCACATTTTAGTGACCTTGGAACAAAAAGCAAAAGTTATACAAAGAAAAATGCCGACAATTGTTTTATTGCACTAATATTATTGTAAAACTTTTATCTGTCGGACTTTTGGGAATAGGAAGTGGCACGTTTTAAGCTTTGAAAATAGGCCGAAAGCTTTATTATTTTATTGGCTATTGCTTCCACTGTTCGGGAATTTATTGATGGCCCAAAAAATACCAGGTTACTAGTCTATTTTGTTTTTACTCTCACTTTTAGAGGCTTTTACCTTTAAATACGAAAATAGATGTTAAATTCTAAAATGTTTATTTAATCGAGCATTTTTTTACAGCTACTAACTAAATCTAAAAGCCGAGTTATTTTTATTTTTCTGTCTGTTTTTCTCAGATTTTTTTAAAAACACAATACATTATTTCAGATAGGTAATTATTTTTAAAGCTTTAAAGTTTGGTTGTATGAAACCGAACTAATACCATTTCTTTTCCCGTGATTCTTTAATGTTTATTCAGACATTTTCAAATTCAAATCGTTCCCTTTGGACGAGAAGCAACCGATCTGCAGGATCCGCTTCTGCATACAATTAACCACCCTCATTTAACTGCGTCTGGTCAATGACAGCCCTGCTTTAATCAATAACTTCTTTTCGCGCCCCGCGTCCTTGGTTTTTTTCCCCCGGCGCGACTTTTTCTGCGCGCTTTTTCGCTCATTATCTGTCAATCGGCCCGCGACTTTTTATCTATGACCACACTATCAGACCTCACCTCGTTTCTACCAATTCCGCAAAAAGCTCAACAAAAAAGGCCAAAGCTTCGCCAAAAAATCGTCTACCGAACATCTCGTATCGCCGGTCTTGTAGCCATTTTAATTATTATTTAATACCAAGGGACGAGCACGTGGCGACGCGCTCCGTCCCTCTCGCGCAACGAGGGTTAAATGCGGCCGACGCTCGCCATCTCGCTCGCACCGAGCCCACTTACACACATAAAAATCGTGAATAATAAAAAAATGTGTACACATTTTTTTCGCTTAACCACCGCGCGGCTGTGTGCGTGCGGCCTCATGCCGAGCGAGCGAGACGCCGCTATCCAGGCGAGCGGAACAGACTGATCCCCACTCCGATTTTTTAAGCTCCGGCTTTCAATGTTGTCGTCCGTGTGATTTTTTTCATTTTTATGTGTTAGTGTACCCCGCGCTCGGTGTAGTTCACTTTTTCTACTATAGATCTGAATTTCAGTCTCGTTTTTGCCGCGTTGGTCTTAAGGCGGGCGAGCGGGCGTTTTGTGTTGCATTTTTGTTGACGCGAGTGGCCGGTGTCGGTGCTGGCTGTCTTGAGCCGGCTTTTTGTGAACACATGTCCTAGCGCTACTGCAGGCTGCACGCGATCGCAAGTGCGAGGAAGACGGCAATACGCTCACGTGTGGATCACCTACATCTATACACAATTATATAGCACACTAAAATATTGAGCACAAAAAATCTGGCAATTTTGATCCTAGCAACGCATTCATAATTTTACCGCAGGGTCAAGAACACGCCGGCGCTGCTTTTTCGGCCGATTTTTTTTAAATGTTTATTCGCGGGGCGCACGTGCATTTTTTAAATAATTTTGGCAATCGAGCCCTGGACTGTTGCCTAAGTTGCCTTTTGGACGTGTTGTGACGTTGGTGTTACCATAATAATGTGATATATTTTTAGTGACAATTAGATAGGAACAAACTGTGATTTTTATGGTGATATTGTTGGTGATTGTGAAGATTTTTGGATTGTGACAGGTATTATTTTATCTTTTTTTTTCTGAAGTGGCAGGTCTTCTTTTTCTTGAGACGTGTAAAGGGGGTTGGGGGGTTCTAATGGTAGGGGGTGGTGGAATTTTTACGTAACACCCCGATGTTGTAATTGCGAGCCGGCCATCTGTCAAGAGTGACCTTGAATCTCGCGCAGTCTATAAATACTGCCATATTTTCGGACGTTCTCGTGTTATTTTTGAAAAAAATTGATTTGTAGACTGCGGTGGACGTTTGGGAATGTTAGTGCAACAGGTGACCTGCCACTTTATTGTTTCTTTTTTTATTTTTTGAGACATGTCCAAAGCGTTGTCAGTCAATTACAAAACACCCCGCTTTTTAGCATTTTTTCGGGAATTTTTTGAGACAGCTAATCGCGTACCATGGCAACAAGATTGGCCTCCAAAAATCAGTTTTTCTACACATTTTTTACACAACTCGAGTTATTAGAAACGCTCTTATCCAATATCAGAAAACTTCTTGTCAAGCAACCTTGTATTGCACGGTTCAGTAACTACGAAATCTCGGCTACTTAACAAACGCCCATTTTAACTAACTGATCGAGAAAAAAATAAGACATGTGACATATTTTTTGCTGTCAAAAACAAGTCCCTAACTACTTGACGATATGTGGAGCTGATTAAAATTATAAGTACAATCGCTAGTTTTTATTAATCAAATGTGTTTATTTTATTCATGCTTCTAAATAAAAAAAATCCGACACTCAAACCTACCTAATATAGCAGCTAACTAGTTAATTGATAAACATTAGAACATAGAATTACATATTCATAGAATTCACATTCAAGTTTGTACCTAACAATCAATAACTCCGGACTAAAATGTTCTTACCTATCAAATTAAAATTTGCTATCTACAGGGTTTGAACCCGCAACCACGTAACCCAGACGCGACAGTCAATTTGTGAAGTTACTAATAATATTCGTCATTCAATATTTAACGTCTCTTAGGAATTGTATCATGAAATTTCGAAGTGCAAGAGATGTTAGATTAAAGAGAAATATAAAATGGGTAATAATAAATATTAATGTCTGATAATCTAAACAAACAATACACAGCGGCTTCGGAAGTGTTAACTTAACGATTTTTTTTACCAAAAAAACGTAATTACTCCATATAAAACACTTCCCTGCTCAAACTAGTATGATTACAAATCTTAAAGTCGATTGACCGAGGCCCTGTGTACAGACCAAATTACATCCGGCATCATCATTTGGGCAAACTACAAAATTGTCTGCGAAGCCCCTAACGCGCAGACCATAAAGTCTACAATGCAAGGACAAATACAGTTGGTAACAGCAAACGCGATTGGTTATCATTTCTATACGCGCAATTATATCTTTGACAGCGTATTGCTAAGGTACAATCGATCGCACAAGTGTTAACTTAAAAACATTCAAAAACAAATATTGAACCTTTTCAAAAAAAGAACTCACCTTTTCAAAAAAAAGAACTCATCTTTTCAAAAAAAGAAGTCAAAAAATAAAATAAATAATAAATAAATAAATAAAATAGTTTATTCATTAAAATAAGAGCATTTCAATAACTTATTATGCTAGAGTTTACATATACAGATCATAGTCTTTTGTAGCCTGAGCTAGGTTAAAAACCTGTGTTTCAGGAGAAAAAAAATGATACATTTTTTTTTCATAATAAACCTGTTTGATGGCCAGTACCTACATTGTATCGTAGATGTGCGTGCAGTGTGATTATCGCAGCCTTATTCGATACGGCATGTGGGATAGATCGTTGACACACAGCCTACGTGCGCTCGTCACCTGCCGAGAAAAAAACCGCCACCTTTTTTACTCTTCAAATCTAGTTTTAAATAGACAAACGACTTTATACTCGTTACAAGTTTCAATTTTAGAATTCAATTAGAGATTATCATGGGGTTTTAAATTTTAGAACACGACAACGTTTTGGACAACGTCACTTTTAGAATGGCATTTGATTTCCGAAATTGTTTTTGCAGACGTAACGGAGGATCTCGAAAAATTCCATGACAAGGATAACAAGCGGGTCGATAGACATACACCGTATATTTTTATAAGATAGTGCCAAATAATACGAGTTTATATATTTAGATAGAAATTTTAAATCGATCAAGATGATGGAAGGCAGGACAATCGATTACAGGCCGGACGGTGGTGGCCTGGATTATCACAATTCGCCTTTAATGGCAGAAATTCCTATAGACAATTACTCGCACATACACAGGAGCATAGAGCACCTCAGATCTATAGGTGTACCACCTCCGCTTGATCATCATAGGCATCTGTCAGCGAATATAACTGACCTGCGGAGGTACGAGCATCCTGATGAGATACCTGAAATAAAGCCGTCCGTATTAAGGTTATCTGAATTCAAGAGTGGATTACACGATATCAGAGTGAACAACGATCAAGAGAATGACATCCAAAGACAGATGACGCCGCACGACGATGGACCGAAGGGATACAGCGCGCCATCGACGCCACTGTCGGAGAATGGGGGGCAGAGCGTTCAGGAAGAGAAGGTTAGAACTTTTGATTCATCATTCCAGTCCAGTTCTGGACTTGATCGCGTTTATTGAGGAATTATAATTCCAATTTGCATTCAAATAATATAAGCCATTTGATATGCAAATCGGAATTCTAGTTTTTCAAAAATACTTAGGACTTCTCCAAGGCACTATTTTAAGTCCGACTTCAGTCTAACAACGTCACGCCTCGCTGGAGGGCATCCTCTGGCATCTCGAGTCAAAAACTCGATTTCGGTAATTAAAGTAAATTAATCATTACCACTTAACCTTGAACACTTCGGAAGTCTTCAAATGTTTTTGACGTCATTAAAGTCTTATTCGGGTGCATTGTTCGTCGGATCGCAGAATCACGATGCTAAAGTTTGTTCCGCGTACGGAGCCATTAATCTTTAGATGATTCCTAAATTATGTTTTCGTCTGCCTCAACGGTTTTAGCACGTCCAATGTTAAATTTTAAACTGCCTTTGATTTTTAAATTAGCGTTTACGTTCGTTCTAATTGGTTTTGTTAATGGTTAAATTGATTTGAATTGTCCTTTAACGATCCAATAAGATTTTATCCGCTTTATAAGTTAATTTTCCGTTAAGGCGTTTTTGGTGTTTATTACTGTCTTTACTTCTTCATCTTTTTATTTTTTAAGCGGCTGTCAAACTAAGGGCGAGAGCGAGGTGTGGAATGTGTCATTTTATATTTATTTTTCCTTCATGTATTAATTTGTCGCCATTATTGATGCTATTAAATCACGTAAAATTATCAAATTTTACACTCACATACGCAGTTTGACAAATAACATAGCCATTATACTCGTGCTCGAACACTTGAAACTTTGATGTCATCCAGTCTTCTACCTATACTACAAAATAAGCTGGTTTCTGAAGTGCTATCGAGAGCTACTCAACCATAGAGGTTATCACTTCCTTGAATTAAACGATTTGTAAACTGCCGCTTCCTATTGCCAGGCATTTTATCTTCAATTTGTATTTTTGTTTAACTAATTGCCATCGTCTCGATCTCAGACCTTATATTATTATTACTTTTATCTGACCCAATATCAGTGAGACTTCATATTGGACCATCACGAAATTTTCCAATAAGACATAAATAGCCGTTACTCATGAATTATAATTATGTTTATCTATCGGATAAGTAATAATTACCGTTCTCACTTTTAATGCTAATTTGCACATAATGTGACAGATGCTTTTGTTTTCGAATGTCAAAAATTGTTGTACGTCACTATAGAATTCTATTTACGTCTGTAGAAGCAGTGATTGACATAATACAATTTATAATTTTTACTTAAATTCACTTATATGAATTTTGAGAAATGGAAATGTAAGTACTCGAGAGAAAGTAGGTATGTACCTATAGTAAGATTGATTGCTATTGAATTAAAATAACCTATCTATTTATCCTTTCTGGACAAAAATCTTGTCAATTCATATATTCATCTATTACGTAATTAAAAATTGAAGGCATCTGTTGCCAACTTACTCCATTCGATTACAAATCCACAATTTGCGTTTTAACCTAAAGTATAATGGTCTGATAAACGTCCGTGTTCACGAATTCGTCAAGGCCAGGCCATCCCAGATAGGGTTACCACTTTTAAAGTCTAGAAATTATAAAAAATCCCAAAAATACTACAATTTTCCACTTTTGTACAGAGATCTTACCTCTAGTTTTAAAAAATGTTAATAATGAGTTGAAGACAGAAACGTAAAAACTAAAAGCCAAAAACAAACTCCCAGACAATTCTGATGGATGGTCACCCTGCCCAGGTCGCTTAGAGGTTGCGGAGATGATACTAAATTGTCTGTCTCGGTTTTTTAAATGCAATTACGTAGATAAGCACCTGTATGAAGTCAATGAATAATTCGGCGTACGTTTTCCGGGACGATATGTATCTAGCAGGTATTTAATTTGAGTGTGCTTAGAACTGATGCGTAATTTTGTAAGATGGCAATCAAGGATGTTTGGGTCTCGTTTTTCATCTTTGATTTTATTACAATGCTAGGCAAAGTCAGGACGAGAGCTTCGCCTAGATTAAACAATCAACTTCTGAAGTAGATTTCAAAATAATTAGCCTTTAAACCTCCTGGTACTAAGTATCTTAACCGCCGCTTTTTAACGCCTTTATGGTCTAGTGGTAAGACCACCTGCTTCAGACGCAGAGGTCATCGGGTTCGATTCCCAGTGGGGATAGATCTTTTTGTTCGGTTTGGTTGTTGGTTGGTGGTAAGGCTTGTTCTAAGTCCGCCTGGCTAGCTACCACCATCTTACCTAAGTCTGTCGCCATAGCAACAATGTTAACAGCATTGTTGTGTTCCGGCAGTTAGAGGTAAGCCTAGCTAGGCAGGTATAGCCAGTTCCTCCGTGGTTGAGGATTCCGGGTGAAGCTCACTTCCACCTTAGGTCTGATCATCACTTACCATCACTTCCCCGTTGTGAATAAAAAACAATCTTGTAAATGGTAAAATTTTTTTTCACCTTTTAGTCTAAATAATATTTGAGTTCTCTACAAAATTTACTATTTCCAGCTATGGCATGATCGGCATGCTATGGCTTAAATCAAATTGACTGTTAAAAATATTATTTTTCAGTTTTGTCATCTTTCTTAAGAAACTTAAATATCTCAGTCAACTATGACTACCTTAACAAATTGAGTATTATTTTGAAGTGCATTTTTTGCAATCGTCTTAGTATTTAGAATTCTTGTCATTGCATTTTAGTGTTGTGCTTTATGTGCTTCTTATCTATGCTATGAATACTCATGAGAAAAGTGTTTCTTTAATACTTATTAAAATGAATTGCTATGTGCAAATTACTGTAGACTAATTCTTGTAGCATTTAAATTGTAATGAAATGGTTTGCTAATTTTCTAATTAAGCGATTCCTAATAAATGCACACACACAAAACAAACCAAATTTAAAACTTAAAAAATAAAACCATAACCATGAGGGTAGGTAGGTACTTCAAAATTATGAATAAAGACAAAAATTATGTGTCATTAGTATCCCATAAGATTTTTTACAGTAACAATCAATTCTCACTGTATTGCAAAAAAAATTACTTGACACGTTAAATTGAGTTACGTAGAAGTATAAATATTTAGGTAATTGAAGTATTAAATTAGTTCAATTTGCCTAGTTATCTCAGTTCGTTACATGTATCATTAATGACTGTTTAATACAATTTCTTAGATAACATTTCACAAGATTCTAGATTTCAAAATTAAGCCTTTATTCAAGTTTTGCGTTTAAGTTACCAAACGCATGGTCGTTATCTACTACACTGCGTAAAATCCTGGAATCTTATTATTTGTATTTTATTTATGTTTGCTTAAAAGGTATGGCTTCGATAAGCTTGCTCTATGACCCGTTGACGTCCCAATGGTTACAAGGCCATTGATAAATTCCCCTTGGTATGTTATGTCAACTTCACCATAAGTCGCAAATTCATTTAAACACCATAGATTTCGAAACTTTTGAATTTCGTTCCATTTGCATTCCATTTGTGATTTTTAATCTATGTTTCTTTTTTGTTTTATTTTTAAGCTCACATTGGTTACTTTTTAATGTCATTCATACTTTTTTCTTTTACAAAAGTTTTATTAGTCATAGAAATAGAAGTTCAAAATTAAATCGCTTTCACTGATTGATCCACAATCTGAATTCGTTTGTTCTTAAATATACCTAAATATTTGTAAATCTTCCAATGCTATGCTAAGAAATTCGCATATTTATTACCTCTGTTTTCGCTCTTTGTTAAACCGAACTTGATTTTTTCACCGAATTTGACTTTCAATCTGTCATGTTCAACCTTCAAAATCGATTTGAGTGAAATTAGCACACATTTGAATACATCTCTTATTTCTCGCCAGAAAAATACCTGACAATTTAAATTTCTGATTTTCTTTAATGTTATCATGGACAACCTTTTTGTATTGTAAAGATGACCTCAAACTTATGAATACCCCCAAAATATTTTTACATACAATTTAATTTTTAAATAAAATATTTGGCTGTGCAACAACGTGAATGATCTTTGCTCCCCCATTTGACGTTCTATGAATTTTTAATATTTTGACTAACAAAAATATTTGTTTCTCTTTTAAAAATACACATTCGCTTCCTGGTTGGAAACAATCTTCATGGGTTTTATTACAATAGCCTATAAATTTAAATAATTTAAAATAATTCGGCATGCTATCAAATATTCGAGTCTGCACCTAATTCTATTCCATTGCTTCTATCGATTGTAAAAAAAAACACGACTCGTTTCCCGCGCGAATCGCCCGCTTCGTCCGTCGAGGAACCGATTGCCAAGGCCGCATTCCAATTTCAAACCATTGTCAATGTCGCCAACCGCACATGACTGATATGTTTACGTTGGCTACGCAACTTTTTCGAAAATGGACCAGACTTTTTGGTGACTGGCTATTTGGACAATATCCATGTGAGCAGTATTATTATTTTATGATTTTTTTTAAACTTAATCTTTTTGGTTAAAATGCTCTAAATAAATAGATTATTGTCTACTTAATTAATTTTTTTCTTTCTCCTTTTTTAAATCCAAAAGCCGAAAGTTTTCTAGGCATATCAACGTCCCGTTGCAAAAGAACCGCGTGCGCATGCTGTTAATTGGCTTGTTCGGGTCTAAGTAAACTGGTTTATCCGTTCGACGGTCAATGTCAACATACAGGGTGAGCAAGACATGTGTCATATTTTTTCTATACCGCAACATAATCAATTAAATCTTTACAAACAACTTTTTGCCGGGTTCATTGACTTCTTAAGCTTTTTTGACACACATGTCACACTTACATCTAATTAATTTCACTTTGGATCTAATTTTAGTTTTTTTTAATTAGATTAGGTTTAATGTTAATGTTTGACATTAAAATCAATTTTTGAAACACCTCAGATTTCGAGGAAGGATTCCATTAAAAATAAACAATTAATCATTGAAATTAATTCTACAAATGGAATAA